AAAACCATGGTTCTCAACCTCGTTGCTCACTGGAATCATCTAGGAAGCTTTAAAAAGTACTCAAACCTGGTTCCACCTCCAGAGATTCTGATTTCATTGGTCTGGGATGCAGGCTGATGGCTTTAAAATCTCCCTAGTCGATTTCTAATGTGCACCCAAGGTTCAAGATCATTCATTTGAAGGTTTCAGTGAATGCAGTGGTTCTGAGTCCCTTGGTCTGGGATGGAGCACTTATTTCTGTAAACCACTTCAGGGGGTTGTGATGAGAGGACATCCTTGATAACCTCCGGAATATCAGCTTAAAACAAGTCCTTGGTGATATTACTTCAAAAATCTGTTGCTCATCTGCTTCCAACAAAATATTAATTGAAGTGTGGTTTCGAGGGCAGAGAAAGGTATTCGTCTCTGCATTTCCAACTGAAATAGCATGTCCAGCTCCGCCACATTTTAAGGGCACGTTGACAAACTGAATTAAAGACTAAAGGCCATATCATCACTGAGGTATAATTAAAAATGACATGATAAAAAAAAGATATGATATTTCTCTTTAAATATTTTTCAAGGGCTGTTGCGTGGAAGGGGGATTCAAAAAAATGTTTTTTGCCTTTGTATTTGCTAAAGGGTAGAAATTAAAGGGACGACAATTTCAGCCCAGTATAAGAACTAACTTGCTACTGCAATGGGCTTCCTGCATGCCCTCACTGGAGTTACCCAATCAGAAACTGAACAATATCTTCAATAGGACCCTGGGGAGTCTTCCTGGGTTATTTGTACCTTGCAGCCCTGAATTACCTAGATTGTGGTGTCCCTGAAGGCCAAATCCATCTGCCGTGTTCCCTTTTCTACCAACATCAGTGGCCCAGTACACCGAGCAGAGAAGGACCTTAGAAAACGTCTATCGACTATATGAAGGTTGAATTTATACTTCCATCTTTTAGCAGTAAACCAAAAGCCTGCAGTGCAGAAAGTAGGCATTCGTACCAACTCAGATTTATTTTTAACTTAAAATATACAATTGTGGAGCCAAAAAGTAGTTACTCAGCTTCATATTGTCTAATTACGCCAATTTCCTATTTACCCTCTCACCTGCCTTGAAGGCAGTTATGTAAAACCTCGTGCGCACACCTGGAGGGAGGCTCCCTGCATTTCCTCACACCTTCTCAAGCACACTACCTCCAGGTCCCCCTTCCCCTTTCTGTCCCCCTTCTTTTTTAAGACCCCCCAAACCCCCCACCGAGTGACCAGCCCCAGCCGCCCGCAGCGCGGCCTGGCTGTTCATTCCACTCCAGCCATCACCGCTATCCGCTGATCACCATGGCTAATCAGATGGTGTGACAGTCTGCACCAGTCATTAAGATGACCCAAATTAACAGCCTGGCCATGTCACAGCACATTCATTCCACATACCCAGACACGGCCTGAGTGTGAGGCAGCAACTTGGATGTGCTTATCTGTGTTTGCACTGTAACATGCATTATTGATTGTCATAAGCTGCTTCTGCGCTTTAAATCTGCAAATGAGAATCATCTGTCAATTATTACAGCCAGAATTGAGAGCTGAGGGCAGAAGAGAAAGTGGATATATTCCTTTTTCTCCCAACATTTCCTTTCATCTGCCTTTTTTTTTCTCAGTCATATTGTAAAGCATCTTAGCTCAAAGTATCCCCCAGCTTTTTGCTTAGAAGGGATACTTAATCAGAATATTTTTATATCCTGTAAAGAGAAACAAACCTTTCCAAGACAGATAAAGCAGGTTAGTGCCGGCTCTGAATTGTAAGGTCATTGTGGGAATTCTGTAATCCAATTTCCTGGTGTCTACTGGTCAGTAAAGTTTCCTCCTTGATGAAACACGGACTGCCTTTTCTTAATCACAATTGCAATTGTTGGCACCTTGCAATGCCTGGTGTAAATTATCCCCCAAATATTTGCATTCTTGTTAGCCGTTTTCCTACGATGCATTTAGTAAGTAGAGGGTCCCATTACCTGCTAAATATTAGTATAAATTAACAATCCATTATGCACAATAAGTTTTATAAAACATTTACAGAGAGAGATCATGTTTAATTAAAATTAACGTGCATATGAAAGCCAAGTGCACTAATGATCACAGCGACCTTTTATTACCTGCAGCCCCTTGTTTTGGCTGGAATGATTGACAGCTTGCTGTTTGGCTACCATGTTGAATTTCAGCTGACAAGACTTTTCATTTTAACTCAATTTGCCCGCCTATCACAAGCTGGTGGCAGGCCAGACCCAAGTCACCCAGCTTTGCCTCAGCAGCTTGCTCCAGTTCTCATTAGTACGCATTTATTCAGTGGAAATTGGAAGACAAATGCTTGAAGGCATGTGAACTAAGTATAGCAAATTAGGTTTAAAGACTGAATATTTATAAGTGTATGGAAAGTTTTTTTTTTTTTTAATTCTAGAGCGAATTGAGAACTGAGTGCTAGCTTTGGTATAAAAGACGTGAAGCTAGAGGGGGAAGGAAGATTCTAAGAATAACAATACTATAAGGTTTTTCTTTCCATTTTGGAAGTATGTAAAATCTCTCTGACAACACCTTATCAAACCAACCTGGCCGCTCTTCCGTGGAGTGCTTGCACGATGAAGTTAGCACCTCGAGTGTGAGAAGGGGGGGAAATGAGGGTCATGTTCATCTGTTGCTTGGTTATCCCTTGGTATGTTTTAAATTGCCTTGTTTGTTCGGCACTAGCACAGAAACAGATGTTGCTCGGCCGCGCAGGATAATTTACTGTACCTCCTGGTGCAGCATGGAAGTCCTCCCAGGGCCCAGCTGGTCTGTCAGTGGCACTGGCTGGTGTCTGCTCGACTATGACAACTACAAGTAGAGGCTGCAGTTTTTTTGTTTTTGGGGGTTTTTTGTTTGTTTGTTTTTTTTACTGTGCAGTTGTCATTCTTCTCAACTTATAGCTCTGCCCGCGTTCTTACTGGGGAGAGGCTGCTGGCTTTTGTGTCTGTACTTTGAAACACAGAGCCACGGAAGCGCCCTCTCCATTGCTGCTAATAATGCCACTCATGACTTTCGGCGTCTGACGCTGATCGGCACAATGGCTCAGAGCGAGAGCCAGCCTCGTCTTGCGCACGTAACTGGTCCTGGAAGGTAAAACCGATTTGTCATTTACGATCTGACCGCTAAGCCACACTTTGTGCTCCATTATTGTGATTAACTTCTGCCTAAGAGATGCTTGCCCGATTGTCATTTGTGATCGTGCAGTGGGCGCAGGCCGCCTTGCTGCCCGCGAGCACGTCCGCCAATCGGATGTGACCGCGCTCTGCGGGCTGTTAAATGCCCTCCCGGTCACAGCAGCCACCCCACAATTATTCTGCTTTTGTCTTTCTTCTTCCCATACCCCTCCTGGACTTGGTGGGGGAGCAGCCCCGCTGCATATGTCGGCTACCATTTCGCACCACAAGCTAAAGCGATGCTCTCTGTTGTTGATCCAACAGAGCCAGCAGCAGTACGTGGGAGGCTGACCCTCGCTTTTCACCGTGGAAATGTTGGTCGCTGGTGTCCTGCCAGCTGAAATCCGCCGTGTCAGGCGCCTTGTGGCTATCTGCAGTAGAGTCCATGTTCCAAAACCAAAGTTCTTTTCTGGCCTCATCACCAACAAACCGATTTGACTCTGCCTGATTATAATAACGAAGGCAGTCCAAAAGAATATGCACAGCCTCACTGTACGTCACATTGAATCACCACACTGGCCACACAGAGCTGACCGCAGCCTCATTTCTTTAGACAAATGCATGCTTAGGGAAAAAGCTCCCGGGAGAAGGTCCCCAAAGCTACTTGATACCCCCGTGCGAGGTGTGCGTAGATCTCAGTGTTCAGGAAATAGCATTTATTTGTATTTTTGGATGGATGCAAGCCCTCACTAACCAGCCTGCTTCTATAATCTAATAATTGGGTATTTTACGTTTGAGAGCTTTGCATTCAGCTAAGAACCTGGGCACTCTGTGTGTGTGTGTGTGTGTGTGTGTGATTCTAAACTGCAAGCCATAAACACAACCATTTATTACCATGTGAAGGGGAAAAAATACTCAATTTGGGGCTCTTTTTCACATTACTGATTAGAAAGAATCAAGCTTTTGATACTAGGACCCATTCACGCTGGTGAAAACATAGTCAGTTTTGATTATGAAGGCAGAGATGCAGACCTAGACAGGAGCTACATGCTGCTATGCATGCTATCAGAGTGATTTATGCAAATTATGCATATTATTCCCAAAGGAATTCCTCCTCAAACTGCCAGGATAAATTGCCGGAAATTAGCCATAAAATCTGTCGTGCTAGGAGCAAAAGGTGAAGGCCACTGGGAAAGCAAGGACATTCGGCTTCTGGAATCTTCCAGGTTATGATGGTGGCTGTTACTTTCCCTGGATGCTGGAGGGAAATATGGTTTTCTTCCAAATCCTATGAAATAATTTTCCCTTTGAAATTTTTCCAGGAAATGCTGACTCACATTTTATTTACAGCTAACATAAAAGAAATTAAGTGTTAAGCTGTCTCAGAAAGCACTACTACAATTACTTTACTATTAACTGCCTAAGTGGTTGTCAAATTCCTGTGCCTGTCTTTGAAGTCATCACTGTTCTGAAGGTTGGTGTACCAGTGGTGTACTTTAAGTGGGATACAGTTTTTCTTTCCAGCACAGCCTTCCTCTCTCGCAGATCATTCTTTCCTACAAAATTCCTGATGAATGACTTTCTGGCCAAGTACAGCGCTGTTGAAATGACTGTGAAATGCCCGAAGCTTGGGGGACTGGTTGTGCCTTACCCGCCTTCTGTCTCATCCTCTCCCCTTCTCTGTCTCCCATCCAGAGCCCCCATTGGTCCCCTCTTGGTGCTCAGTGGATCTGATTGGGAAGATCAGATAAAAAGCTGTCAATAAAAGCTGTTGGTCATGAGCTTTACTGACAAATTGAGAGCACTTTTCAGGAGCAGTCATGTTTTAATATAACGTTACTTTCCTGTTTCCTCCAGAAAGCACCATTCTCGAGGCCCTACGGCTATGCACGATTTCAGGCATCTTCCGTTCTGTTCAAGAGGACTTGACACTACATCTAGAGACCCAGGACTACCGTCTGCGAAAGGGAGACTTCGTGGGCATCTTTCCTCCCGCCCTACACTACGACCCTGAAGTCTTTGAAGCCCCAGAGGTAAAGAACCATCCAGCCGGTACTGCTCCCTCCTCAGGATGGCACGCTCACTCCTTTTCCCGTGATCTCTCTCTCTTCCTTTCGCCACCTTGTTCCAGAAAGGATTTGAGAGAACCTGAGGACTCCTGTTTTGCCTTCCAATGGGGAAATGTTCCAATTTGCTGAAGTATTTCCTTAAGGGTCTCTCTTTCAAGGGCTTCATGATCTATAAATAGAAATACAGTGGTAAGACTGAACCAGTTTCTTCAAATGAAATGAACATTGATACACCTGTGGAGACTATTCACTTTTGGCCAAAATTGGGTTTCACTTGGCAGAGAATTATTAAAAGCCATGGAGGGCTAGCTCTTGACAGGTGGCTCAGAGAATAAATAATGATGACTATTTTGCTAAGTGTTTCCAGAGAGGAGTTAACTCTCCCAGAGTCCGACACCATCATTGCCATGGTTAAGCCCTCTACTTTTTCACCTCTTACTAAGGGTACGTGCCCCTTCTTGATCAATTAGGATGGCATTATGAACTTGAGATTGTAAAGCCGCCGCTCACGGGTGAAGCTCTGAGGGTAATTGTGTCATCTCCTTGTATTTTTTTTCTGAAGCTGGAGTTAATGAATATCAAAGACTGGAAATTAATCCACCCTGGCTCATCCCTTAATACCACTTCCGAGGCTCACCACCTGCATGCAAATTGAATGCAGTCATATTCTGCCCGTGCTTCTCACGAAGTCATGTTCTTGCTGCAGTGGTTTTTGTACATAAGATGCCATTTTTCAAAGGGAAACTTCTGTGCTCTTTTTTGAGCGGTTCATAGCTGAACCACTTTTAAACCCAGTTTCTAAGATGTTTTTGCAGTCAGGCTAGATGAAAATATTGTTGAATTTTGGAAATTAATAAGAAAAGAACAGACTTCAAAAACAATGAGATAATTTGCATTATTTCATCAGCAAAGGCAAAATTTTTTAAGTGACGGGAGAATGTATGTATAGTTTCTATGTGTTTCAGGAGAGGCATTATGTGAATAATGATAGCAAATCATAAGTAGGGTGATAGTTGTGAATGAACATTTTGCAGGCAACAAGCTTTACCTCCACATTTGTAAATATAAAAAAAAAATTCGACACATAAATAAGGTACTCAATAAATAAATAAATAGCTAATATTTGAAAAATATTTTAAAATTTAAAAAATAGTTTTATTTCTAGCTACAATTTTTAATTTCATTTCTGCTTAGTATTTTCATCATATGATTATTCCACTAGTCATTATGTTTACTATTCATGTCACAATAGTAAAACGGACATTAAAGTTGTCAACAAATAATGAATGTTTAGCAAGTCACCACTGTTGTTGTGGTCTTTGGGCTCCTCCTATTTTCAGCCCCTGACCCTGACCCCATGATGGAAAAGACCATCAGTTAGACTTCTAGGAATTTAAATAGCAAAGTTAAACATTGAAAATGTGCAGATCTATAGCTTTTTTCTGTGAAATACTAAATAGCAGTGCCCAAACATTGCATAATAAATCAGCCAATCTTAATAGTAGTCAAAAGGATTTGCCTCATACTAAATCCGTAGGAAGAACAAAATTGCAATATTGTGAATACTGATTTAGCATCATTAGGGTAGCTCTAAAAAGTTGACGAGCAGTCTCTATTATTTACTAGACTTGACATTAGACAATTATGCCTGACTAGTGTTAAAATCAACTAGCTAATTTTTTGCCGTGGTACTGTTTTCTTGAAATTGGTTGTGTTATGCTGATAGTTATTGGCACAGAAAAAAAAATGGTATAGTTCAGATCCATTTCCATATGATTTGGCAAAGTCTTATGTAATTCATTCTGTAAACATTTACTGAGCATTCACCACTCTCAGGCTTGTAGGTTAATTCCTTTTCTCAACAACGTAGGATGGCGAAAAGTAGGTACTGTAGCTGCTCATGGAGCAGGTGCCCATCTGAAAACGATCATACACTAACAATTAAGAAGAGAAGACGACTCGGGAAAATTCTGCCCTTGGCCATCTGTCACTGACAGCACTGTCCCAGAAGCCTCATTGGAGGCTCATATTCCTCACTGCCTGTCTTTCGTACCCTACACATCTTGAACGAGAAGATCCAGCCGTAGAGGCAGAAAACAGGCCTAGCTACTAGGCCAAAATCACGGGAAGACTAACTCCACACACAAGTGTAGTTGCTCTAGGAGGACGTGGAGACTGAGGAATCTTAGCAGAACATGGGTTACCCGACCCGGTGAGGCATGGTTTCAGGATGTTCAAGCCGAAGACACTCTAGGATATTACATTCCAAACACAGGCCGTGATCGTCCTTCACAGAGCTCTCTGTTGTGGAATGTCCCTCCTTACTTGTCCACCAAGAGTCTCCAGATTAATCTACAGGAGTCTCCCTTAACTATCTCTTTTTGACAATGTCTCTAATTCCCACCTCGTTCCTCAGAGCGCTGGCCACTCCTCACTCTGTGGCCTGTGTGTACCTTTGTTCTAGGGCATCCCACGCAGCATTTTGCAATTACTTGTTTGCCTGTGCTCCCAAACGCTGTAAGTTCCAGAAGGAGAGAGACCCTGTTATCACTTTCTCTGAATTCTCAGTGCCTGGCACACAAGAGGGTATCCTGGAGGCTGAATAGAGGGGGGTTGTTGTGATGGGTGGATGTACTGAAAATGAAAATACACTTTAGTTAAATCACCACAGATATGTACTGGGCCGAATTAGACCCAGTAGATGAAGTGGCTTGTGTCTAAATACAATATTGTTGGGAGTGGTACGAACCATGGTGAAGGGACAGCCCAGGAGGCATCTAAGTGAGACCATTTGACTACTTCCAAACCAACCCTGAGTTCTTACGAGCGCATCAACCTGATGTGGCACAGTCATTTTTATTACCTTTTTTAAACGTCAAAAACAGATTTCTGGGTGAAACATAGACTTTTTAAATGTTTGAAAAATTAAATTTAAAACACAATGTGAGCTAGACAAAAAAAAAAATTGGGGGCTCTTATTGGACCTATAACCTACCAAAGTGTAACCTGTGTTAAGAATTACTCTTTTCCTGAATATCGGTTCCTTACTTGGGTGGTACTTGGGGATGTGGGAAAACACACTGGCAAGTGAAATTTGAAACAATGGGACAGAGCAAAGGAAACATCCCTTCCCAGTTCTTCCTTTCTCTCTCTTTATCTGTCAGAATGCTACTTGAGAAAGTCTAGATAATCTCTTAATTAACTGGGAATGGATAGCTTTTTTAAATTTCCTGAAGCTTCCTCAAATTTGTATCAATTGTCAGCCAGAATTCTAGCCACTGGCTCGCAGGTCATCAGTAAGGGGTGATGACTACTTTTCTGCCAAAATGCAACATCTAAAACCAGAACTATGGAGAAGCCCAAATCTCTTGGTTGGAGGTGCTAAGCTATAGAGGGAGGCTGAGGGGTAGGGAAGAAAGAGCCACCATTTAAGATGGTAATGTGTTACCATAACCTTGTAGCCTCCTCAAGTGAGGACTCAGGGAAACAACAAAGTAATTGCAAAGCCATTGGGGTACACCCCACCCCCTGCAAAAGCTCTGAAGTTGAAAGCCTGATTTGACCTCATACAAGCCTGTTCTGTCTGCTTCTCAGAGGCGTAGGGATTATAAAGTGATAAATGAGTTTGAAAGCCCTTGAAAAAATTTTAATCACTAAAAAAATTGTTGTATCAATATTCTTTTGAGGATCGTCACTGTTCTTAGATCACACTAGTTATGATGAATGTGGAGATACTCTCAATAATTTTTTGTCTGCCCCTCAAGTTGGAACATTGCGCCATGAGCACACATCAAGGAAACAAATGAATAAGGAGCATCTACTATCCTGGAAGCACTTCCATGGGTATAACAGGTAACATGGATATTAAAAAAGACGCCTGTCCTCAAGAGCTCACAATTTAGGGGCTTGTTCTGATCACACGGCTGTTTTTTCATAGCCAGATGCTCCATGTTCAGAGGGTTCCTGCCACACCAGTAAATTGGCACTTCATACCTACCATGTTGGAACCTCAGTGTGCTGATAAACCAACACTCTGAAAAGCCCCAACTTTGTCATTTGTCATGGTGTGAATACTTTCACCCTGGCTGATTTCATGTTACCAGTGTGAAGACCCTGAACACGGTGTTGGAAAGAGATGTATATATTCTCTCTAGGTGGTCCCAAGTGGCTACAGCACACTGCTGATTGGAACCTATGCCACGGAGATGGAAAAGGAGCTTCTGTACTTAGTCATCTTGCTCCCAGAAAGACTGACTGTAAACTGGGGGCAACAGTGCAGCCCCTAGTCACCCATTTGAAACAGTGACAGTTTTTATTTCTAGGAAATCCTAACTTTTGTCTTACTTAGATTCCCATACCAAAAATGATGAATTGAGTGAGTCCAAGGTCTGATCATATTCTGTGTCACCTACCCCAGCAAGACCACGTTTTATGCCTTTTTAAGTTCAATGCTTCACATACAGAAGGGCTGGGGAACATCTGTTGAACTGAACTAAACATAAAATTTGGAGAGCAGAGATTAGGGTGTTATGCAGTGTTCCTCAGTCACTCGTACCCAGAATTCTTTTCTATCCAGGAAATTGTACCATCTACCCAATCTTTATTTCTAGTGCTAAATATCATACCATTTTCTATTTGTAAACATTTTCTGTCTGAATATTCATCTACTTTTCATTCCCTACATCTTTATTTACCCCTTCAATATCTCTGTTTTCTTCAAAAGCTTGAAGATTGCTTTTAAAATATACTTTATTGTCATGTATTTATTCAACAAACACATAGGGACCCTCTACTATGTGCACAGCACTCGGGTGAGGGCTTTGAAAATACAGAGATAAATAAGACAGTGTGACAACTCCCGTCTCCTGGGATTTCTCAGCTCTGCCATTTCCTGTGGATGAGCTCTGTCTTCGGCTTGGTGACAGGATAGCTGCCGCCTTGTCGGCATCGTAGTCACCTGTAACCGGCGCCAGCGGAACGGTGATGAACCACCGCATTTTGTTTTTCTTTGTTTGTAAGAAGGACGCTTTTCCCAGATGTTGCCACAGACTTTTCGCCTGTAACGCAGATGAGATTGCTTCACATGTCCAATCCTAAATTAGTCAGAGGCCTGGGCAAGGTGTTTACCATGATGTCCTCGACAAATCTCATACAGAAGAAAGGCTGCTGAGGAGTCAACCACAACTATCATTAGAGGAGCAACGGGGGATGTCAGTGTCTTACACTTTTCTCTTATCATTTCTCTACTCTCATCCATCGAATAATATTGCATTTAATGTACCCCTTTAAATTGTGAAGCGCCAGGCTGTTATGGTTCCTGCAAAGAGTTGAAGTCAGCATGACACATCCTGTATTTAAGTTGTTCCAAGTCAACCTGTGTCTCTTGAGCACCCTAACTTTACGTTCTGTGTCACTGTGACCCCCAAATCTCCAGGGTAAGACCATTATACCCTTTCTCTTTTGGGCTAAAATCAGACTATATTCCTAGCAGCTGCCACAAGCCCTTCCTAATATTGGCTTCTGCTTGGGTTCTCCATGTCCCTACAATGGAAAACAAACAAAATAAATTTTAACTCAAAAAGATATTTATGCCCATAATCCCTTTGAGCTTGATGGTAGTCACAGAGCAAAAGAGGTTTGCCTTCCTCTTTCTTATTTCATAATGTAAACAACTAAATAGGCATTTCTATGATTCTGTTATGAGGTCATTGAATGGAAGGTGATGGAAAACAAGAGGATGGACGTTACTGATTGGCTAGAAGTTTGAGGGCGTTGAGTGTAACACTGCCTGCAGGTAGCAGGGGTTGGGGAGCACTTAGGCATTATTTGTTGATCACAATGGCTTTCTAGATGTGTATGCACTTTCACAAAGAAGAGCAGAAGAACCATGACAGTGTTTTGGCTTATTTATGATAACAGCATTCTATGAAGTCACAACCCAAGCTAAGCTTTCCTTTTGCACGTTCTGGCTTAAACAATGGGGCTGACTGCAGTGAGAGCTTTTCCAAATAACTCATAACTTCATGGCAAAATTGACATAAACTTTGGCTCAGGCAAGGAGCTCTTGGGAAGACCTCTGGTCTCCTCTGATCGGTCACTGAGAAAGAGGAAACAGCAGTCCTGAACTTAGGCAAGCAGGCCTGGACCCCAATAATGGAAAAAGACTGACTGGGAGAGAGTACTGTATAGTAATTCTATCTCCAGTGACAAAATGGGTGTCCGCGGAGTGTGTGCTTGTTTGTGCTACAAGGAGGTTAGCACTGGTGAGAGCCTTTTCAGACACATCCCAGAACTGCCTCTGGGAGGTACTCTTGTGTCCTGATGCAGATTGATTTTGCCATTATGATTTCATCAACTTGCAAGTTTGAAGATGGGGTGAATAGAAGCTAAGTAAGTTGTGTTTTCTAAACTTGAATATTTATCAAAATCAGTATCCTAGGTACATGAAGATAAAACCAGTACTTTTAAAGGGAGTGACTTCACTCACATGAATACTGGCATTGAGTGAGAAAAGTAGGTCATCTGTGATGGAGTCAGAATCTGTTCATATATCACAGGGCTTTTGCTATAACCTAAGTGTTTTCGCCTTCATAGTGCATATCAAAGTTGTGTGCTGAGCAGATCTAATGCTAATGAGCACCACGTACAGGAAAGACTTGGTCATTGTTATGCCTGCCAGGTGCATTAATCTAATCAATGGTTTAATTCACCATGGGCTGAAATAAGGTCACTCAGTCTCCTCTCAGAAACTCAAGTGAGAGTAAATTAAGATGGCGGACCAAACACCCTCGATATACCAGTCCCATAATTTTCTGTAATGAGTATTATAACTTATTTATGGAAATGTATCAGAAACAGAGTTAGCCCAAAGAGCACTCATTCTAATAGAACCGTTGTTGGAGAGTCAGAACGACGTCAAAAAACAAGCAAGACCGATACTGTGCTTTAGTTTCTCTGTTGTGCGCAACGTGAATCTTACTATTTTATATCTATTTCATCCCAACATAAGCACTGAATCCTAAACTCATCCATCAGTAGATGACTGAGAAGGGATAGAGAAGTGAACACTAGGAATCCTCAGTTAGGCAGCTCCTGTGGCCAGTCAGAGTCACCGTCCACAGTGACAATGGTGGCAGTGCGGGAGCCCTTCCCTCCAACCCAACACTGGTATTTCAAGTGCCTGTAAATCAGGACCCATCTTAAAGAACAAAAACGGAGATACTGCCTCTAGACTTAGGAAACTCAGTGTAGGAGAGAAGTGGGAAGGAAGTCATGTAGGAAAGTCTGGATTTCAGTTTAATACTGGAGACGTAATTTTCTAATAGTACTTGAGTGTTTTGAAAGTTCATGCATGATTTGCATTTAGTCAAGTTTTACTTCTTGGCGTTTGCTGGGTTAAAAGGAGCCTGTTACGATGGGGCAGGGGAAACCCGGCAACTTTGTGAACCTGAACTCAAACTATTTCATGCAGATTTTTTGTTTTAACACTCTTTTTTCTTTCTTCCTTTTTGTAGGAGTTTAGGTTTGATCGTTTTATAGAAGATGGTAAGAAGAAAACCACCTTTTATAAAAGAGGGAAAAAGCTGAAGCATTACGTCATCCCATTTGGATTCGGAATCAGCAAATGCCCAGGCCGATTTTTGGCGTTAGTTGAAATAAAGCAGTTGTTGGTTATACTTTTAACTTATTTTGATTTAGAAATAATTAGTGATAAGCCTGCAGCACTGAACTTCAGCCGCATTTTGCTTGGTGTTCCGTATCCAGATTGTGATGTTTCATTTAGGTACAAAGTAAAATCTTAAAGAAGCTAAAAGGAAAAGAAATCTATCAAAACTAACCTAACTGTGTTTAGCTCATTTATTTGCTTTAAATTTCTTCAAATGTAATTGCTTTTGTTTGTTTGTTTGTTTAAAAAGCACCAATTTCTATTTGATCTGAGATCAATCCAGTTTGTACTTGGTCACAAAACGCATCATAAAAAAACCAGGATGGTGGCATGAGAATGGACATGAAAATCAACATAATGATAAATTCTAAATAAATTTTTTAAGTTTCTACGTATTGAGATCTGGGGGCTGTCATAGTAAATAGTGCCTCCACAGCAGTAGGTTTGACACTGGGATTTTTTTAAGTCACAAATTCTCCTCTAATATGTAAAAATACACTTTATGTACTAATAGAAATTTGTTCTGGAAATGAACACGAGTCTAACAAATTCCAAGTTCTCAGAGAAGGAAATTAAATTTCCATGAGACACACTGGATGAAAATGTTCCCTTCAAGTGTAATATCAATAATATCTATATTGCCAGGGTACGTTTGCGTTAAATGAGTTTTGCAGTAGATTAAATGCTTCAACTTCACTTCAATATTTAATCATCCATAAATGTTCTTTATTACTTTGTATACTGTGGCTCAATGGAACAAAATTTCTTGTTATATAAGGCCACTCATGTTCAAGTTAGATACTGGTGAGATTTATCAGTATAAGAACACACAAAAACCTATTATATATTCAGCAATTGCCCTCGGCATTAGTGTTAGGTTTATTGTAGGAGTGAATGCTGAAATCATTATAGGATTGATTATAGCATTGGACTCTAGTGTAAACTCTAAGCTTTATGCCAGTATTGCAATTAACTTTCCTAAATGCTTCCATTTATATCAACTGAGAAACTAGATACCTGTATTTGTTCTTGACACCTCACCTCTTGGACTTGGAGTTTATTCGCATTATTTGAATGGCAATGTTACGTACTACGGTATAATTCCATATGCCATAATGAAGCATTGTGGGGATGGTTCAAAGATTTCTAATATCAGATTGTCTGGCATCTGGCCTAAATGCTGATGCTGTGTATAAACAGGCAGAGCAGGTGATTGCACCCAGTTAATTCACACTGCATTTATAGGAACTTCTAGTATTTCAGAAATGCACTATTGTTTTCAAAAAGGAAATTGATTTTTAAAATAGCATTATAAAATACTTACCCATACTTAAGAACTAAATAGGTTTCCTAGCATTTATTTTCTCCTTCCTGAAGTACATGCTTTAAGTGTGCCTTCGGGAAGCCCTGCTGGTCTAAACTTTGTTTTCGCTGGAATGGAGATGTTTTCATTTTCGCCCGGGTTCCTGAAAGGTGCTCTGGCTAGGTACACACGTCTAGACTGACAGTTATTTCCTCGCGGCACTTTGAAGACATCTCATGGTCTTAAGGCTGCCCTTGTTCTTACCAAGAGGGTAGCCTTCATTCGGTTTAATTATTCAGTAGATTGTCTGCCTCTTTCCGCTGCTTTAACGTGCTCCCTTTGTCTCTGATGCGCTTGGTTTCTGTTTATCATGCTTGCATTTCCTGGTGCTTCTTGAGTCTGAGAACGTGTCTTTCATCAGGTGTGGGATATTCACAGCCATCTTCTCTTTGAATATCTCCTCTCTCAGGCTCTGCGTTAGATCCTCTCCCCCTGTACCCCATGTTGTTTGACCTTTTCTCCTCATATTTCTATCTCTAATTTACATTCTGGGTGATTTCTTTGGATCTTTAGATCTCCCTCCAAGTTTATTCTGTTCTTTACCTCATCTACTGAGTTTGTTTCTTCCTTCTTTCTATTTTAACCTCAGGTTCATATGACTGAGTGATCACATTTCTTATACCCCCTTAGCTCATGGTACACAATTATAATTGATCCAGACAAGGCCTTTCTGGCTTTATTCACGCGTTCTGTTTTAGCCCAAATCGCTACCATTATACCCTTCCCCATCATAGGCAGATATTCTAATGTGCTTGGTGTGTATCTTTTTGTTTGTATGTGTTTTTATAAAACATATAATATTACCTTGGGTGCATATGTTGTTAATTTATGTTAATGTATTTTCTATACATCATGTTCTTCTTAACGTTTTTGCTAAGCTCTATATTTTTAAAGATATATCCATATTGCTTTTTATATATATGAAATCTATTGCTTCTTACTGCTATATAGGATTCCATAATGTGTACTTGCCATGTTTTAATGCTCTGTTCACCCAGTGATGGAAACTGTGTTAGCGAGATGGTTAATTTCGGGGAGATGCCAAAGCAGAACCTAAAAACTCTAACCCCTACCCATCCTCCCACCGCTGTATGCATCCATCCTCCACCCTGGATTGATGCAAACCCTGTCCTCAACGTCCCCACCATACACACACACACACACACACACTCACTCACTCTTAGTTCATGATAGCCTTCATTCTCTGAGATGTTCTAGATTTTCGTGTTCCATCCACAGATCCTTACCACCCTCTCCCTTCTATATGGTCTCCAGCATTGATTTGAGTTGGGGCACCACCTGTCAACTTGTCAGCTTTTAGATGTTCAATGCCACTGAGTCTGCTAAATTTCATTACATTTTCAGTTTGAGAATTCTCTTTGGTTCTTCCTATCTGTCTGATCATTTTTGATAACATCTTGTTCCTTCATCATACATTCAATATCTTTTTCATTTCTTTAAATATATTAAGAAACGTATTTTATTTTCTGTATCTGGTATTTCCAAGTCATCAGCATTTTGTGGGTCTGATTCTGTAGCTTTTTGGGGTTTTTTGTTTTTTTGTTTTAACTCTTCCTCAGGATGGCTTGTTTACTGGGCCCATGTTCCTTGGAATTTTATCTTTGGAAAATTTTTTAAGACCTGAGTTTAAAGCTTACACCTTCAGAAAGAATTTGTGTTTGCTTTTGTCCGACTGCTGATGTTCCTGATCAAACTCAGGTCACTTCGGATTTTCAACTTGAGTATTTTGAGAGGTGATTGGAAACGACACGTGTGGTGTGGTTTAGCCAGACTGCAACCCTATGATGAGGAATAGGCAGGAGAGACTTTCTGGGGTTTTCTCCCCTTTACCCAAAGCCAAGGCTGAGACAGGCAAGTACACCCACAGTCCCTGTCTGTGGAGCAAGGTTTCTTTCTAGGTCACTTACTGCAGATGTTGCCTCAACAAGTCTTGGCTTTGTGCAGAGGCCTTGGATTACACACACACACACACACACACACACACAGCTTGGGCCCTAAGCTTTATCTCATGCCTTCCACAAAGTGTAGCCCATTCCTTTTGTACTAGGACATCTAGTCCACCTTATTGCCTGAAGTGTAAACCTCCAGATTCTTAAACTCGTCTCAGTAGTAACCTTTGTGATGCTCAGCAGAAGGAGCATAGAGAATCATTCCATTCTAGTACCTGCTTAATTTATAATTAGAAGTGAAAGGAATTGAGAATGGAAATATTATGTAAAATATTATATAAAAGAAATGGATAGTAGAACCAAAACAAGAGAGTCTTGTGACAGGCTTACATCTGGAAATTAAAGAGTTTATGAATAGGATAAATGTCACAGAGAACTAAGTTAACAGACATAGACTTTAGTTATGACATAACTGGTCTGTTATCATCAAGTCACTTTGCCTCTCCGTGCTTCAGTTTCTGTATTTGCAAAATAAAATAACAAGGCCTTTTTAACATCAGGCTTCATTATGTGGACTGAACACAGTAAGATGTGTGAACTAATCTTGGAAAGTGTGATGCAATATACAAACGCAGAATTGTAAAAGAGATACTTTGACAATGTTGTGCTTTTTTAAATCTGTTCTTATGTATTCGTTAAAAGGAATGATTTTTTGTCATTAGTTAATTCATTGTGCATTTATTCAATCAAACATTTATTGAGCATTTCCTCTATCCTAGATATGATGCTATGCATTAGATTATGCTTCTTCAAGAACACACAGTCTATTAGAGAAAACAATTCATAGCCAACTAATATATTATAAACGTAGTTATAGTAAGTTCATCTCCTTAAAACTATTCTAAAATTCTGATTTATCACTAGTTCTAACTAACCTTCCTTTACTCCTTCCGAATTAGTGTTCTGTGATGAAAAATTACTATCAGCATAATTACATATAATAAAACATACAACATAGTTATATGGTAAAAATAACCAAGACCAAATACAGTCATTGAGGCTTCAGTACTTTTTAAATAATATTTTACATTTAGTAAAAACCCATCTTTTCATTTTTACAGCCTCCTCTAAATGTCAAATTAAAGAAAATGAATAATTAAAAATATTATTTTATATCAATGACCAACAGTAAAGAAGCATTCAATTAGCAAAAACTGAATGCTCTGAAGGTATTAAGAAAAAAGCTATTTATCACTAAACAAGATGTGCCGATAAGCAACCTCTTT